ACTTAAACCGAAACTGAGCCACTTCTGTACAAATAAAACGTTCTTATTCTTGCACAGGACCTAATGACTTGTCGTCGCACGTTTCCGTGCGTCATTTTTCCTTGATTATGATGACACTCCCCTGTTTAACGCATAATTAGGCACTCAAACACACACATCACCATGCCCCTCCTCATTAACTTCCTTCCTGCTTCCTGTCCAGCTGACCCTTGAACAGGAAGTGTGATTATTCTGTTGGACTATAACAGTTTGGCATTATAATCGACCTCACATGAACACACACAAACATTCCTAAGCATATTCTTGTTATGTATTTGATGAAATCACAAGCGTTAAAAGATGCTCGAGGTTATTTTTACCCTATTAAAAAGTTAAAAGGCTGTCCCATACACTACCATTTAAAAGAAATTAATACTTTTATTCAGAAAGGATGCATTAAATGACAGTAAAAACATTTATAATCAGTGTTGGGGGTAATATATTACAAGTAACGCAAGTTACGTAATCAGATTACTTTTTTCAAGTAACTAGTAAAGTAACGCATTACTTTTTAATTTACAAGAGAATATCTCTGTTACTTTTTCAAATAAGTAACGCAAGTTACTTTTTTTTTTCCAAATTATTAACTGACAGCTCTCCTGTCGCCATGTTGAGATAAATCAGATGTTACTGTAGTTCTAAAATAAATATGAATATGCATTAATTCATCTCACTCACACAAAAAAAACACAGATACAGTATTCCTCAAAATGAATAAAAATAATGCAACTCCGAATATGACGCAAACCTGCAATAATTAAATGTTAAACAACACAAATATCCTTTATGTATTTAATCCCATTCTATTAACCAATGTCTTTGCTTCTGACCTTCGATGATCCAGTTCAACCGTACTAATAAGCACAAATTACTCTAGACAAACATTTGTGTGTTTTTTTATTGCTGAAGTGTGTTGAAATTTCTTCCTCTGCATTCTACTGTACGGACGTAAATTTGCTTTCCCTTCAGCCTGAGGCTTATTCATTTCACTTCTGGTGTGAAAAGGCTTTTATATTTGCCAAAAATATAACTTTTTTATTTTAAAATCAAACAAGCAAGCCCTGTCCAGATTTAAAAAGTAACGCAAAAGTAACATAACGCATTACTTTCCATAAAAAGTAACTAAGTAACGTAATTAGTTACTTTTTTATGGAGTAACGCAATATTGTAATGCATTACTTTTAAAAGTAACTTTCCCCAACACTGTTTATAATGTTACAAAAGATTCCTATTTTTAAAAAACATGCGGTTCTTTTGGACTTTCTATTGTTCAAAGGGTCCTCAACATTGATAATAATAATATTTTTTGTTTCTTGAGCAGCAAATCCTCATTTTTTTTTGTATTGCAATAATTTTATTTTTCACAATATTACTGTTTTTACTGGATTTTTTATCATAAAAAGCAGCCTTGGTGAGCAGAAGAGACCACTTTCAAAAACTTTTGACTGGTAGTCAGCAGGTCAAGATTGATTGCATGATTTCTCCTCTCATCTCACGAGGTATAGATGGCAGTTTGTCAGCTGATCATTTGATTGACAGCGGGAGTGTGGACGGTGACTAATCCGTCTTAGAGAGTGTGAGTCAGAGTGAGAGCTTGTTCACGACGGACCGTCACCATGGCGATGGTGAGGTTGATGACATCACAACCGGTCCGTTATGGGAAGCTGTAAATGACACCTGACCTTTGGAGAGCAGAGGTCAGCGCAGGCGTCATGAGAACCTGTCGTGTGACAGAAAGAAAGGCGTGAACATGAGTGTGTTTAAACCGTCACGTGGCAGATGCATTAAAGAAATGTTTCTGGTTACGAATATTTTAAAGGGGTCATATGATGCTGCTAAAAAGAACATTATGTTGTGTATTTGGTGTAATGAAATGTGTTTATGCGGTTTAAGGTTCAAAAAACACATTATTTTCCACATACTGTACATTATTGTTTCTCCTCTATGCCCCGCCTTTTTGAAACGCGTTGATTTTTACAAAGCTCATCGGTCTGAAAAGCGAGGTGTGTTTGATTGGCCAGCTATCCAGTGCGTTGTGATTGGCCGAATTCCTCAAGCGTGTGACGGAAATGTTACGTCCCTACCATACTGTTGATGCCGTGTCCCGGAGCGACGAGATAAAAACATTAAAACCAATTTTTAAATTCTGTCATTATTTATGAGTTTCTTTCTTCGTTTGAACATAAAAGACGATATTTTAAATAATGTTAGTAATGAAACCGTTGCTGGTAGTAATGAAAGGTCTGTTTACCAACATTCTTCAAAATAAATGTGAAATAAAAATATCTGCTTCTGACAGGGCAATTTTGGCTCAACCAATGGCGTAAATTTGGGGTCAGGACTGTCTGTTGTCCAACCAGTGGAATATTAAACTTGTTTGAAAACAGTTATGCTACTGTTTCTGTAATTGCGTTTAGTGACACTAGAGGGATAGAAATTAAATGACAAAATTAAGCTTTAAAAGCTACCTAGTTATTAGGTAAATTTCACATAAATGTACATTTTTCCAACCAAACACCATCTTTTTTTGTAACTTTTTTAGAAACGGAAAACTATGCATCTGTTATTTGACTTTGTCTTAATAGGAAAGGTATAAAGACTACTAGTTTATGCTCTCTTTTATGTATTTAAAAAAAAAAAAATTCTGTTTTCTTTATTTTCTCACCGTTTTATTTAACTCCCTGGCTTTACTGTTGTGATGTTGTTGTTCAAAACAAAATTAAAAAAGAAATTTGGGGGATGGGGGTGGGGAGTTATATATATAAAAAGGTTTTTTATGAATATTTTAGTGTTATCTTCTGTCTTTTTTTACAATAAAAATATGTTTTGAAAAAACAAGAAAGAAGTTATGTAATCTAATGCAGTTAGGTTAATTAAGTCATATTAATATA